GCACTAACAAAAAAGCTGTTTTTTGCGATTTTCTTGCAACTGCCTCATCTTGAAGGAAATCAATCGGATTTTTCGTGCAAGATCTGCAATTCTGCGATTGTTTGATTTTCGTACAAGATCCGGCAGTTACAAGAAAATGATAAAAAGAACTAGCTGGTTTGTTAGTGCGCATGTGCGTGGTTAGTAATTCTCATTTGCTGTCTGTAAAACGGATTTGAGAGGAATCCAACGACACCTCATATGTCAAAATTTACCAAGCCGTTTGACCTGTATCCCGTTAAATAGGATTTTTTGAGATTACGTCATCAACGCCATATGAAATAAGTAAACAGATCAGCGCATCTGATACTCTCTCCAGTACCCATGGAGTGGGTAACAGGGACCGCTGTTTCCATTCTCTTCCTGGAAATACTCTAATAAATTTAGCATGAGCTGGCCTTTTCCAATGATCGTATTTCCGGGCATTGTACAATTTTATATCGAAGATTGATAACAGGACAATTCGAGTTGCACGCCGATGTCAAGTATCACTTTGACAAATATGATTAGGAGCACTCATACGTAACGACAAAGTTTTCGAGGCGGAGACACACAACTAAAAAAACGTATGTCTTTGAGCTTACCGAACAAACGTTCACACACAGGGTAGGTTCCATGTGTATGTATGAGGAAGATGGAGATATATAAAGGGATACTGGTAGTCTTACTTTGACCCGCCATGAACGGTGACTACAACTACAGTCGGGTAAAAAGGTATTATATCAAAAGAGTGAATATGATCATCTTAAAATTCTTTCAATTTTGGATAGACCTTATCAGTTCTGTTGGAAATAACCTAACCTACAACTTTCATTTAGACAGCTGGAAAGCTCAAAGAGTCTGCACTATTACTTACGAATCATTATTATTAAGTGATACTCTGGCAACTCAGGATATTCAAATAAAAATAATCATTTGTACATATATGTCGATATTTTAAGAAAAATGCTGAAGGGTGAGACACCCAAAATTAATTGATTAGTTGACTTCTGGATATGATATAATATGCATGACTCCATCTGCGACAGCCTTAAATATTCTACATACCATTCTCTACCTCTATGAATCCATCATCAATGATATAAAATGATGGCTATAGCGAGTTTTACAAAAAAATCATCTGTCGCTTTTGATTACCACGAACTATAATTGAATTACACAATATGGTATTATTCTTGTATTCGTAACACATTTAGCTATGACGTTTCATGGTGCAACTATGAACATTTTTCAAACGTATGCATCAAGTGAGGTACACTATTTTGAAGTTCTTTCATAGAAAAAGCAAGTAATTTCTAACTAAAATTGGAATGACCTATCATATCCTTCACGATTCGAATACCTTTTAGTAGAGCGCTATAACGGTGAATAAGTTAAATGATGTTGTGAAACTGCACTGTTAAATATAACTGACATCATTTTCAAAGCAACAGATTCTGGAAAAACCGCCGCTCTCGTGCTCTTGGACTACTCGAAGGCGTTGGAAAAACTAAATCATCAAATGTTGACAGGTACTTTACGCTATGTAGGTTTTCAGAGTCTGCTATCATGCTTATGTATCGCTATTAAACTAACAGAACACAATACGTAGAAACAGATAAAAAGAGTTCCTCCAACGATGTCATCCCAACCAGTATAACACAAGTATCTATTTTAGGTCCTCTGATTTTTAGTATTTATACTCCCAACCTCTCCCAATGTACCCCGAAATTGATAGGCAGATTTGTATGCTGACGATACTCAGCTTTATTTTTCTCTCAATCCCAACGAGAAACGTGATGCCTCGGCAATTATTAATCGAGATATTAAAAGATTAGTTATATTTTTGAAATATCATGGTCTATAGAGCAATGCTAGCAAATCACATCTTATGTTATTTGACAGATTGAAAGACAATAATCAGCCCACGTTTCAGGTCAAAATAAGAAGTTTGTCTATACCTTGTTCAGCTACTGTGAAAAATTTAGGATTAGAATTTGACTCAAATCTATGATTCGATCCAGAAAGCTTATGCGTCTCTTGAAGTTATATATGCTCATCAACGACTCACTTAAAATGTTGCTTTGTGAAGCACTAGTACTCAGCCATTTCAAATTTTTGTAATAGCGTAGGTATATGGGTTTTGCTTAAACAAGATTGACATGGACAGAATTGAGCGTGTACAGAAGTCGTGCCTAAGATTCATTTTCGGTCTGCGCAAGTTTCAAGAGTTTCGCATGAGTTGCTTGATGCAAACTGGTTGAATATGCGATGTCGACGTGAGTTGTATGCATGTAATCTTTCTCGCAATTTTTTTTAGCAACCGCCATATTTATTCAATAGGATAACTTTTCGCACTGAACTGAAATTTGCGGTTATTTTTGTAAATGTAAATGAGGCACAAGCGATCAAACTAATGAAAGTTTGTTTGTTTGTAGTATCATTCACATTTCGGGTCTTTCAAACCCAGATCTTTTTCTATAAATGTGTAATGCAGGACTGAACTAAGAGCATTTGCTTTTAGCCTTTCTTGTAACATATTTTATTTATGTATTTTGCTGCAATGTGCAATTTACCTAAACTGCATGTTGCAAATAAACATTATTATTATTAAGTAGTATTTTGTATCGATTTTTATTCTGCCTCTGGGCATAAAGAGTTGCATTGAAATATTGTAAAGAAGATTAATTGTCTAATTCCATATAGAACAGTTTCAATTATGTTCCAATGCTTTAAATTGGTTTTATATTATATGCAATAACATTGAAATGGCTAAGTAAGATCAGTCAAGTTCGCTGATCAATTTATGACACTGAAGCTGTTATACTTGGCTACTCTTTGTTATTTGTCGACTTGGATTCATCTCCATCGTTGATCCGCCATCATGAATCGCGGCGATATGATCCTCGCGTGACCACGAAGAATAAAAAGCGACTCGTCAACAACTCACCAGTCACCAACCGCGGCCGGTCGTTGGTCGCTGTACACGACGATGACTAATTGAAAATATCAATTAACACTTCAGACATGTCGTTCACAGACGCCATTTCAGAACGCAATACACGTCCTTGCTGATGACTGTCAGGTGTTGTTCTTGTGTATGTTGGTCGGTGTGGAAAAGAGGAGTCAATTTCGTGTTTAGAAAAATCACTTTCTCGAACGGAAATTTCTGGAATGGATGATACGAAATAATTTTAAGCGACGGGTTTCGATGTAGGATTAAAATGGTCTCATCAATTTTTTGAACGAAGCATCGGCAATTTCTAGTTATTTCGAAAAATGAAATAATGATCTTCAGCCTGCTGCTGAAGTATCGATTTGCAGATATCAATTTGACGTGTTGCTCAACAATCAAATCATTTCATCTCAATTCAGGTGGATAATGTTCAAAAAAAGCCTATCATGCATCAACTAGAGCCAAGTTAACACCTAGTAGAAAAACCATAATGTCACAAAAACAAAAACAATGTCAACAAAAATCGACACAGTGTCACTTTTCAAGATACATAATACCCGTGTCGATATTTTTTTTTAAATATCCATACCCGCAATTTTACCGACGGTCAGGAACAACGAAAATGGCAGAAGCTGTCATTGTTTCTGTACTCAGGAACACCATGCATGGATACAACACCATACGATCAGTTGAAAGGGTCCGTGAAATTATATGTACATAGTTTGAAAAATTGTAACTCTGTTGTCATTGATCATATAGCAACAAAACTTATAAAATTTGTGGCGGAAGAAGTTGCTGAGCCATCTGAATTAATTAATGAGTCTGCAACTATAGGCCTGTTATAGTACCA